CATTTTTTAATATAATTATTTATATAATAAAGATTATATATATTGTTATTTTTAATTGTAATAATTTATTGACATTTTTTATTTTATATCCATCAACTATTTTTTAATTTTATTATGAGAAGAGTGAGAGGATATGAAAAAATGTTCAGCAATTAAAACTGATATTAGTCGGAGGATATGAAAAAACGTTCCGCATCAAAACCTGATATTATTATATTTTATTTGGTTATTTTAATATAGAAATAATTATTTATCAATAAAAATTAAAAACTTGACACATGAATAATGAGGTGGATCCTACCGTGGGCTTTTTATATCACAGGCTACAAATTGGTGTTAAAGTCTTCGCCACTTTTTTTAAAAATAATTATTAATTATTTCTAAGAGTGTTATTTTTTTAATTTTTTGATAATTTATTTTCTTATTTTCTTTAATTTTATGGTAACCTCCACTTCTTTTAGTCAATCGTTTCTTTTTTAAACTATATATTATGTTGAAACTAATTTTTTTTTATAAAGTTACAAATTTTACCTATTACTAATAGTTATTTTTGTTCGTTTTCAAATTTTCTTTTTATTTTAAGGTAAAAACAAAACATATAGACATAATATATATAAAATTATATACATGTATATATATCTATTAAGTACACAACCACAAAGTTATAAATTTTACTATTTACTTTGTGTAATAGTTAAGTTTGTCCCTTTTTCAAATTCTCTTATTATTTAAATTAAATAAAAAACATATATACATAATATATATAAAATTATATACATGTATATCTATTACGTACACAATCAGACACACATATATATTTATACACAATATATATAATATTATACACATGTGTATCTATTATGTATATAATCACCACACATACACACACACATATATATATATATATATTTATATTTTAAACTATATATTATGTAGGAATAAAAATTTATGAAAAAAAATTAATAGTAATCTAATTGAAAAAATTGATGTAACTAATGAAGATTTTTATCAACAAATCAAAATCTTAAAAACATCCATGTAAGATGATGATGTGTCTTCCCCAAATCTCTTTAAACATAATTATATATATATAATATATATATATATATTGATATATATATATATATATATATATATAATTATGCCATTTTAAAATGAACCATTTTAATTCAATAATAATGATGATGATGAGTATTTCGGTTTGAATGGAAAAAATCGAAACAAATTGTAGAAGACTGTGACTCTTCTTCGAAGTATTAATAATAAAAATTTAAAATAAGAGACATTAAATATAATTGACCTTATTGGCCACGTTTTTTGTTGTAATTATTTATCCACTAAATTTTAACTACATGGATGGATGGAAGTAAAAGTAACCGAAAATTATAATAATTGTGTTGAAGACAATAAAAACTCATTAAGTACATATGAAGTAGTGTATAAATAATTATATTCGTGTTAAATCATATTGGTATCAAGAACCACGTAACAGTACTATTGCTATTAAATCATATCACCATGGTTTTGAAATTTTCAAAAGGATGAGGTGACTTTAAAATTTTTATATTCAATTTAAATTTAAAAATTATGTTTTTTTAATATTATTTCAATATATATACAACTAATACCCAAATTAATTTTTATACAATGAAATTGAAAATTTCAAAGCTACTATAATCTATTCACATTCTTTTTATTCTATATGGTCATCTAGTTTTTAAAAAAAAAATCTATTTTACATGTTAATAATTAGTGGTAATCTGATCAAACTATATAAGATAATAATATATGAATGAGGATTTAAAAAATTTTCACCCAGTTAATGTGGATGATAATGATATGAGGTAGTTTCCTATAATACTTTAAAATTTATTGATCTGAAATTAGTAAAAATTTGTTGATTTGTGGATATCAATTATATATTCTTAGTATACTCATTCTTGATTTGTTTTCTTCTGTCTATAAAAATTTAGTCTAGTTATAAGATAATATTTAATAATATCATTAAATATTATAGTTAGCATTTATTTCAAAAATAATAAAATTTACACATGGAACTTTATATATAAATAAAAGAAATTTGAAATGTATAAAAAAATCCAATCCAATGCTAAATTGCTAATTGACATCAGTCCTAACATTTATCATTTAATATAAAGAAAATTAGATTAATCAAAAAAAAAAACGACAACCCACGGACACATTTTTATTAGACAGTCTCTCGCAAGAATTCAAAAACTCTCATGGCTTCATTACACCACGTTGCTCAAGAACGCCATAACACTCCGACCTCGATAACCTTCCTTATTCTTCTCATTCGTCTTCACTCTGCAACTCCTCGCTGCTTCACCCAACTCATGATTTCTCTTTAGGACAACCATTGACGCGGTTTCAGATTTCTCTGTTCGAAATGGATATGCTTAAGTTTTGTTTTGTTTTTCTGTTTCCTTGATCTTTCTGTTCATGTCGAGCTTTTGTTCGTTGCTTAGTTCCGATGGGTTGTCTCTTCTTGCCCTAAAATCCGTCGTCGAGATCGACCCGACCCGCGTGATGAGCTCCTGGTGGGATTCTAACCCGACTCCGTGCCATTGGACCGGAATCGTCTGTACCCGTGGCCGAGTCTCCTCGCTCGTTCTCGCCGGGAAATCATCGTTGGGATACATTCCGTCCGAACTCTGTCTCCTCGACGATACCAATCTCCGGCTCATCGATCTCTATCAACATTCGCTCTCCGCCTCGATCCCGCCGGAAATTCGGACCATGAAGAATCTCACTCACCTCGATTTCTCTTCCAATCAACTCAAAGGAACTCTGCCCGAGTCTCTAACCGATCTCAGAAGTCTTGTTGGAACCCTCAATCTGTCTTACAACCGTTTCTCCAGCGAGAGACCGTCGTCGTATAGTCAGTTCTCGCGGGTTACGTCAGCTTGGATATCGGACACATCAATCTCACCGAAAAAGTAACGCAGGTGGGATCTCTTTTGAACCAGGGCCAACTGCATTCGCCGAAAACCCTAACCTCTGCGGATTTCCGCTGCAAACGCCGAGCACAGAACATGCTGAAAACCATAGGATCGTCTGTGAATTTTTTTTGTTGTGTTGCATTTGTAGGAGAAACAAATTATAGAAGATGGTGAGACGTTCCAAATATCAAGAATAAAATAACAGTCAATAAATGTTGAAATAACATTCAATAAATGTAATCGAAACGTATCATGATCAGTTTTTTCTTTTAATTTTTTATCCCACTAAATATTAACCACATGAAATTAAATATAATAAAAATTATATTAACTAAACATATCAACCCGTAATTGGTTTCAAAGCGTCTGTTTCATATTTTGTAATAAAACAAAATAAATTTTGGAACATTGTACGATGGAAAATATCAAAAATTTTGAAGCAAATAAATTTTAGATATAATATAATATAAAAAACTAATGATAAATTCATCAAGATTTTTATGTAATGTTGTATTTCGTTCTTAAATTAAGGTTAAATTATCAAGATAACAAATAAATTCTAAATATAATATATAAAACCAATGATAAATCTATATATATAAAAGTAATTTAAAATCATAAAGATAAAAAGGAATTTAAAATATAACATGATTAAATAATAATTGCAATGATGTATATAATATAGCTGATTTTATTATGAGATATTTTATTGAATATTGATATAACTAATGAATATTTTTATCAACCAATCAAAATCTAAATTTACTGAAATAGACCAACGGACAAGAATATAAAACAATAGTCAATAAATGTAATGGACATTCGAGCGTCGACCGTTTTGCACTTAATTTTTAACCCCACTAAATATTAACTACATGGAATAGATGTAAATATATTTGAAAATTATAACGAATGCTTTAAAGACATATTGAATATTTCTACATCATAAAATGAAAGTTAAATTTATTTTTTTATATAATAAAGATGAGTTTTTAAAATTATAATAATTTATTGACATTTTTTGTGATCTTTCCACATCAATTTTTTTAACTCTTTTTTATGTGTAAAAATCAATATTAATCTAGAAAAGGAAACAATATATATAACGATAAAACTGTAAAACTAATGTGAAAATTAAAATTTTATATAATAATAAAGATACAAAATTTTAATATGTATATATATATATATATAAAATAAAATAAAGATCTCAATAATGTAAAACTATTATATAATAAAGATGAGTTTTTTAAATTTTAATTTTTTATGGATAATTTTTGTCATCATCCCAATCAATTAATTTTTAAACTATTTTTTATGTATAAAAATTAATGATAATCTAATTGAGTATTCATGTTTCTAATGAAGATTTGTATAAACCAATCAAAATTTAAGAAACATCCACCTAGGATGATGAGGTGGCTTCACCACAATCCTTTAAACTCCTTTATTAATATATATAGATTTTTTATGTATAAAAATTAATGATAATCTAATTGAATATTCATGTTCTAATGAAGATTTGTATAAACCAATCAAAATTTAAGAAATATCCACCTAGGATGATGAGGTGACTTCACCACAATCCTTTAAACTCCTTTATTAATATATATAGATTTTATAGATAATTTTTGTCATCATCCCAATCAATTAATTTTTAAACTATTTTTTATGTATAAAAATTAATGATAATCTAATTGAATATTCATGTTTCTAATGAAGATTTGTATAAACCAATCAAAATTTAAGAAACATCCACCTAGGATGATGAGGTGGCTTCACCACAATCCTTTAAACTCCTTTATTAATATATATAAATTTTTTATGTATAAAAATTAATGATAATCTAATTGAATATTCATGTTCTAATGAAGATTTGTATAAACCAATCAAAATTTAAGAAACATCCACCTAGGATGATGAGGTGGCTTCACCACAATCCTTTAAACTCCTTTATTAATATATATAGATTTTGATCTGATTTTCGGATAATTGGGAAATTGGAAAAAAAAATTCAAAAGTTACTTATTTCTTTGTTAAAAATTAATACTTGTTTGTGAATATGAAAACGAAATAATTTGATATGAATGTGATGATTAAATCTCAATATTTTTTTTTTTTTTTGAGATTTTTCTATTTTAAAATAATTATTTATTTCCCACATGCCTTCAACGGCTTCCCACATAGACAACTGTTGTACTCCAACGACGCCGCTTCGAGGCGATCGAACGGCGGACCCGCCGGGATTTTTCCGCAGAGATGGTTATGGCTCAGATCCAAGTCTCCGACGTAAGCCGCCGCCTTCAAACTCGTCGGGATGTTTCCCCGGAGACGATTGTATGACAGATCCAACACCGTGAAATACGATCTCGGCCCGAACGCGTTCGGGATTTCCCCGGTCAGTAGATTCCGGCTAAGATTCAGATTCGAGACCGATAAAGTCAACAGACTCGACGGAATATCGCCGGAGAGTAGGTTTCCGTCGAGATTTAGAGTTCCCAGCACCGCCATTTTGCCTAGCGCCGCCGTGATGTTGCCGGTGAGTCTGTTCATGGAGAGATCCAAATCTGCGAGACGGTAAATCCGGGTCAGGGATTCGGGTATCTGACCCGATATTTTGTTCCCGCCGAGAAGTGCGCGAGACAACATCTTCAAGCGACCGATATCTCGCGGGATTTTTCCCGAGATTTTGTTGTTTCTTAGATCTAAGTGCATCAGACCCGTTAGTCCCGTGATCGACTCGGGCATCCGACCCGATATCTGATTGTCGGCGAGATTCAGCACCGACAACCTCTTCAACTGCCCAATCCTCGCTGGAATCTCTCCGGATATTCTGTTACCGGTGATATCGAGGATTCTCAGGAAAGGGAGATTCGTCACGCACTTGGGAATCTCGCCGGAGATTCCTTTCCAGTCAGCGATGATGATGCTGGAGAGACTGGTCAGCTTGCAAATCTCCGGCGAGATGATTCCGGTCATGAATCTAGGCCGACGAGGTCGCTGGAGGATTGGGTCCTCGAATTCTCCACGGAGAGTTATGTCGGCAACCCGGTGGGTTTTCGGGTCGCAGCTCACGCCGTACCATCCATGGCAGCAATCTGAGCCCTTCCACGTGTTGAAAACTCCAATGTACGGCTCGTGGAGAGCAGACCGGAAAGCTAGCAGCGCCGCTCTATCCGACGCAGGACAACCGGACACGATGCCGCCGCCGCCGCCAGCGAGGAGCAAAACGACGACGTAGCTCACTAGAACCAAAATCTTCTTCGGACCCATATTGCAGGGTTACTATTTCCTCTCTCTCTCTCGATATAGTTGTTTCTCTCTCTATATGTATTGATTTGCGGGTGTGAAAGTAATGTTCTGTGTGAGGATCTTTACGTGACGGATTTGAACCACGTTGACATGCAAAAGACTAGGCTACGATGTTGTATTTATAGATGTGTTGAGGACGAAATGTGACATTATTACGTATTCTTCGTAAATGACCTTTTTGCCCACTCGTGCGCTTCCTTGAACGCCCTCTCACTGCTGCCACGTCGCACCATCTGCATGCATTCTCCTGATTTCTGTGTCCAATTAAATTGATTAGTTATATGCCATTTATCACGTTAGTTTCTGGAAAAATTGCATATAATACTAGATTTTTACAAATTTTTTAAATAAATATTTAAATTATAAAATTTCTAAATAAACATATGAACTTTTTAAAATTTTATATAAATATCTAAATTTTGAAAATTTTAACAAATAAAAATAAAATTTATTAACGACGTTAGACGTTAAACATATAATAGAATCCGTAAAAAAAATATGATTTATTAACGAATATTATTTCATTTAGAAAAAAATTAAAAGTTTTGCTATTTATATGTTATCCCCGTAGATGGAAAAAACATAAGAGAGGGATCATGCGATTTCACAATTTTTACTTTTCTTGATAGGCGATGGTCTGGATTCCAAAATTAAATTAAATCAAATATTTAAATTCAATTTAATATAAAATGTATTAATCTATCAAATAAAATGATTCGAATTCAAAAACAAATATAAAAAGCCAAAAAATGGAATTAAATTATTATTTTAATAAACATTTAAAATTCAAAGTGAATTCGGATGTAATTCAAACTAAATCAAACTAAATCAAATCTAAAAAAAAGTCATCTTAGCACACTATTGTATAGCACAATATTATATGGTCAGTTTGATAAGTTATCTTTCTATGAGTATCCATACCAAAATATAGACTGAACACAGTTTTTTTAATTCCTAATAACAAATACCGGTTCTATTACTTTCTTTTTAAATGTTTCAGTGGATTAAATTAATATATGATTATATTACAATTTCCAATAGCAAATGGACACACACATCCGTAATGCAATTAACAGACAAATGATAATTTCAATATAATCATAAGAGTTTATTAGGAAAAAATATAATATTTTCCACGACACTTGGCACGTTGAGTATCATATGGTGTTTCAAAACATACTCAATTTGGGTCAAAATATTTAAATTGAGCCGAAAGGGAAATGGAAAACTATGGAAATCTTAGTTGGAGATATTTTTTGTTTATTTTACTAACAATAAAATCAGTAAAAGGTTGTCTTTTCAAATCTGACCCCACATGATAGTTTGGACATATTCGTGAAGACAAGTGGATTAGATACTGTATTTTTTATCTTTTATTATCAAGTATTGTGTATTTATTTTTTTAATGAGTTATTATTTGGTTGTCCCATTCATATATTTTGTTACGAAGGGTTTATTAACTTTCTCCTTTTTTTTTGGTAATTGGGTGTCCCAAAACGGAGATCCAGATTAATCCCGAAATCAAAAGCAAATGATATGATTGAAATTATGTTCTTCTTCCCAACTTGAAACTCGAATTTGGGACAAAATAGACGTTTTATATCCTCATTTCATCGATTAAGCTATTTAGTTGGATGACTTTCTCCTATTGATCTCATTATACATAAATATCGTTTTCCCTCTAAATCTGAATTATTTTTTGCAATGATCTTTTCAATTTTTTTCAATTTTCTTCGTAATTATATTAATTTGATCGCAGAAGTAGACATATCATTTAGAACTTTATAAATGATTAGTTTAACCTATAATAGGTTTCATGATATTTATAAATTAAAGTTGGTTACTGAAATAATATAACATAAAATAATAGGTTATATTACAACAACCATTACCAAAAACCATAAAAATAACAGGTTATACTAATGTCAGATACGATAAAAAAAAAATATATATATAAAAAGCTCTGTTTGCCACAGTTTATGATATCAATTTACATTTTAAATAAAGATACAAATTTATTATACAAGTACAAATTTCTTATACTTCATAAAACTTTATTTTCATCCGCTTGTTTACATTTTAGATACAATTTAAAATTATTGTTTTTCTACGGTCAATAATATATATATTTGTTCCTAGAAATACAAAGGCTACTGATTTATAATTGAGAAAATATTTAAAACATATTTAAAAATATCAAATTTTAAATTACCAAAACTAATATAAATAGAAAAAATTATTGTAAATCTTTTAAAATATAAACATTTTTTCTAAATTATTTTATTAGTTTCAATAATTTACAATTAAAATAGTTTCAATAATTATAGGTGAAATTGGGTATCTCTGTATATTTTGCTTTTAATCTGTTTGATTAAAGAATTCTATCTTTAACTTTCTTAATAATTTTAATAATTTTGGAATTATAAAAAAAAATTATGTCCGTTGAGAAGTTTTGCAGGAGATCTGACAACTTAGATGCATCATAAATGAAGGGATGAGGTTTGCCAACCTCAAATCAAAAGACATGAAAATCACAATAATGCAAAGTAACGAATCAAAATCATGTGCATATACACCACCACATGCAACCGTCCAAAGGCTATATGCATATGTACATTTATATGTACATGCTTAAATATATATATGTATATGTGCGAATAAAACCTGTTAGAAATATATAAAAAAAAACCCCGAGATTTCATAAATACAGGATTTAATACAAACCCAAAAAAGTAGAAATGAAAATTTGTTTCTATAGGATAAAAGAAATAGAAGAAAAAAAGAGAGAAGAAAAAAAAAAGAAATGAAAAGTTATTATGCAATTGAACAGGAAAGAATGAATTAAAATTTTAAAAAAAATCTGAATTTGCAACTGTGAAAGAAAATATCTCTAACTCAACAGATTTAAAACTTTTTAGTTGAATATTGCAACTTTCATAGTTTTACTTTTTAATATCAATATATAAAGATATATCATCGCTTTTCATTAATTCTGCCGTGCATGTATCTATACATGTATGTATGAAGTCTTCTGTTGTTGACTCCCCTGGATACTACCTCCACTTTGACTTCTAATATTATTCTTTCAGGAAAAATAGTTTTATTCGAAAAAAAAAACAAAAAGAGAAATATATATATATATACATACACACGAACAAGACAATTAATTAAGATAAGAGTATGCATTTCTTGGCCTAAAGACAAGCCGTTGAACAAGGAGAAACACACAGTAAGCACTAAGCAGTTTCTCAGCTAAAATGTTGCTTACCCTGTCTGCAGTTCAAGCACCAAATCTCTTAACCTTGTCCTGCCAAGTTACCTTCAAAAACAAAAAGAAAAAGTGGCGGGGTTTAAGCAGGAGGGTTACTCCGGTGTGGAACATTCTAGAAATCCGTCTGGGATCGTGTTGTGGAACTGCCCCGGCATTATGATCCGCAACGGTCTTGGAGAAGCCTGTAATTGTTGTGCCGACCGCGAAAAACTCGGATACTTCCGTCGAGTTATTGTCCAAAAGATGAGACAGAAGGCGTCGATAAAGGAACCTCATTCTGTTCCTAAACCACTCGAGTGGAATTGGTGCAGAACCAATCGGCAAAATCCAACCAAACGATAAAATATTACGCCAATAGAGCCAAGTGAGAATGATGGATACTAATAGACTATACAATGTAGTTGTATAGTCTAGTAGATACACAGACCAATAGTTGAAACCCTTCTTGCCTTCGATACCGACGATTCCGAATCGAGGCACAAAAAAAAACCTAAATACTCAAGACTGGTAAACAGGATATATGTAAATCCTTTCATAGCTTGATTTTTATGTTTTTCTTCTTCTGAATATAACATCCTAACAGTCATTTCCTTTTTAGATGCATTGCTCTTGTTGAAGTGTTGTGACTCAAAAACTGTATTCTGCCAGTTATGTTGCTCTATAAGAGCGTGTATTTGTGGATTCAGAAAATTACCGCAGATGGGTTTTCTGCAATCGTATTCTTAGCTTTTATCGGTTAGTGGGTTGATAAATGCAGAAGCATTTGAGATATGTGTGTGTGTGTGTTATGTATTGAATGTATTTAAGAAGCAGGTTGTTTTATGGCATGTGTGTTCTGTCTCTGTTTCACATTCTAAGAAACAAATCACGTTTTGCTTTCTGGACATTCAAAGGTGCGAGTGGGAAGAGATTCACTCTTTCAAAGGAATTCCGAGAGCTGCTTCTTCAGATCTTGTCTGATCTTCTTCGTTGATATTATTTTTCATAGCACATTGTCTAAGAGCTTCTTTATTGATAGCCATAACAATTTCGTAGCTCTCTTGTGAAAGGGGGCTCATTCACCCCGTATAATGGCGCGTTGGCATAGATCATTGAATCCACGGAATATTAGATTGCATCTCATCCAGATTTTCGTTGATCTTATGTCGGCTTTTAGCCGCATAGTTTCTTGGATTGCTAAATATACCCGACATACAAAGAAAACTCTTGCACTCAAGAAAGAACAAATTATGTGTGATTTATAGAAATTTGCGGAATGATATTTTTTATTGATAATCAAAATAACATATAAATAGATAAAAGTCTGAATAAGTAAAGTATATATAATAATAAATATTTCTAAATATATATTTTCCGGATTTGATAAGATCTCCATTATACGATATATCTCATAATATTCTTCAAGAACCGATATATTTCAACATGATTTTGATTCCACCAAATATTTCTGATTATGCATCTTCAAAGTCCTTAACACTATAAGTTGACGTCGCAGCCCCATTCTCGCATTCTTTCGTGAGATGACAAGCAACAGCTCCCAAAACCTTGAGTTGGAATTTCTTCAAATGTTTCGTAAGTGAGATCGAAAGGCGATGGGATTTCAACTTGGGTCGGGTGTTTAATGCGTTGCATTCAAAACTCACTTCATCTTCGACTTCTTCTTCGTATCTATCTTCCAGCATTAGTTTTATGCTGTTCCAAAGACCTCAAAGACCTCATCCGGGTGAACCTCTCTCTGAGATGAAATTGGTGTAGCGATTTTAACTATCTCCTTTCGAATTCTTCTCCAGACCGTTGTTTTTCTTCAACAACGCTTCTTCTTCAAACTCCACAGATCTCGAAAGATCTTGTGATGTTCTGATATCATGTTAACTTCTTTTTCTGCATTTTTTTAAGACTTTGATTCCGTTTGGTTTTGTTTCACATGCATATGCATTCTTGCTGTGCGACCAATTTTTGGGAACGACCGATGATATATGACAAGAAAATCAAAAGTTAACTGTGTACGAAACCAAATGTGAATATTTTAGAATCGATTTACTCGATGAAGGCTGAAAAAAAAAATGCACAGAAGTCTGATCAAAAGAGATAGAACAAAGACGGTAAAGGGTTGAAAAAATAATGCTCAGATTGTATATTCTCCAACGATACAATATACATTGCGTATATATAACAAGAAAATATGCTATAAAACAAAAAGGGAATAAAATAATCGAAGGAACATAAATGCGGAAAGTTTACGTTTCGGTAGTGCGCTGAATTATAGTGCGATGAGATGAATCACAAAACGGCAGATCTTGTCTTGATATGTTGCCTTGGGTTGTTTCTTGTTCGCCAAATAAGCTAGCGTCTTGTTCATGTTCCTTGGACGTGTGTACGATCTCCGCTTCTTCTCGATCGTGTGTTTCGGAGTAAAGGCTCGGTTCCAACACCAAAGAACTATTTTTACTTGTTGATCATCTTCTCCACCATACTTGCATTGAAAACTAGGACGGAAATCCATTACGCAAATAAAAGAGGTCGACGGAAATTCTATTTTTCATCTTCGATCTTTGATGTCATTAGATATTATCGATTTTTAGCATTATTGTTATATTTAATCCCGGTTTTGGCTAATCTAATCAGATTTTTTAAGCTTTGAAAATGATATTTTTTTTATGGGATAAAAGCTAATTTTGGCATTGATGAAAATCCAGAAACCTCAAAATTATTCCATTTTCGTGCATCCAATTCGTGTTTAATGTCTAGGTAATTTGGATTCGATTTTAACTTTGTAAATCCAAATTATTCTTAGATTGGATTTGAATTCTAGTTCCATTTTAAAAATTATTTTTAACTGTTTTTATGAGATTTGGATTTAATATAATATTTTTTTTAGATATTATAAACAGAAAAAAAAAACAGATTTCAATTTTTATTACTAAAAATATTTGAAATATTGGACCACGAAATTTGAGATATTCAATTCAACTATACGTTGTCTAGAACTTGAGAGTTGAATTATTGCTCGGGATATTAGCGGTAAGTTGACAACCTCAAATTTGAAATACTCTGATTAATTGCACCAATACGAGAAAACCTAAAAGTACACGTGGCAGAGACCCACTTTGCTGAAATCCAACGTTCGTCTTCCATCGGTTCGCCTCCCCTCTCTGCCGGGCCTCACGAAATATTTGAATTCACACAAAAATCCAAAAACAGAAAAACAAAGATTAAAAAAAAAACATACTACGAAAATTAGTTCAAGACATTTTTCGATTCACAGACGAAGAACTCGTCCCCCGTAATTCCCTTCAACTCCGGCCTCCCCAATGGAAGGACCCGGTTTGGAACCGGATTCCGAATCCGAGTCCGACCCGTTTCCGTTTCCGCTTCCTTCTTCAGTCAATCTCGCGCCATTTTCGCCGGTTCCGCCGCCGTCGGCTCGCCGTCTTTCCAGTCACTTCACCCGACCTCACCGGCCTGTGGAATCGGCTCACCGACGGAAATTGGCATACATCTCTCTCCATGGAGTGCTCGTCAATGCTGATGAGGCGAGTTCGTCGAGGTCCATCGGCGGCGGATTGAGCTCAGAGGTGGCTGTGGCGTGGGAGCTGTTTACTCCGATCCAGAGGTTCCTGATTGTGGCGGTGGTCGGCGTCGCCGTCGCTGAATCAAAGAAGAATCGGGCCATTCGAAAGCTCCAGAAATCGGTGGATCTTAGGGTTTGTATTGTTCTCTGCAATTGGGTTATTACTCGATTTTTGCTGTGGGATCTACTAGGGCTTGTTTTCAGTGTGCTAGGGATTATGGAACTTGGAGTAGATTTTGACCCCATTTTTGGGTTTATTAATTCTGTAGCGTTTTTCCCGTGTAGTTGCATTTAGCATTTTGATTTGGTTCATGGCTTTGTTGGACTTTGCTTTAATTTTCCGTTACTTTTGTGGATTTTCAAATGGGTTAGCTTTCGAATAATAAATTGCATTTTTAGGTCTGTGGATTTCGACGTTTAAGTGATGAATAGCCTTCTTACTGAATCCTGCTTTGATACTTTTTCTTCCTTGTTGGCGTTGGAATATCTCATAGTTTTGCAGATTGATTTGTTCGAATTCTGTTTTGAAGATTCGATTTCCGAATGTTTAACTTCGGGATTGATCAATCCATGTGACCTTTTCCATCGATTTACAGCTAAATTCCGAGTGTTTGATTATGAGAGAGGTTTTTAGAGTGGGTTTTTTTGTTGCAGGCGCATGTGTTCTAATTTATGTCTCATGAGAGTTTTTGCAGGATCAGTTGCTTTCGGACATGCAGCAGAAACTCGATGATCTGTGTGAGCAGCTAAATCTTATCAAGCATCATTCAGGAACTGGGCCAAAAGCCTCGGATGACGATAATCTACAACGGACTCTGAAAGAAACTTTTGGATCCCAGAACATAAAATTCATTGATTGTGGCTGTTGGCTGTGCGATCAACACCATCACTTGTTACCATCTTCATGGGTAAGTGCTCTTTGATCTTCTCTCAGGCAATTGATGAGTTCTCATCTTTACGGGTGGATCTATCTCATGCTGTCATCGACTTTCTGATGTTAGGATAAACCTCTCTCAAAGGCTTCGACCGGCTATGAGATGCATAATGAGACGACAAATCTCGTGAATGATACTGAGCCAGAGGAAAGGCGTATGTCTGACTTGTCTGATTGGGGTTCATCAAGTGTCACATCTGCTGCAGAGATCCATGTAATTTCAGAAGAATATATATGTCAATAATGATCAAACATTATAATACCTGTTTGGATGTCAAGAAGAAGATTACTCTGTTGAATGAGATGTGTTGTTTGGTGTTTTGGTGCAGTTCAATAATCTTTCACTAAATGAAGACATGCTTTATCTCAGAAAGGAGTGCCAGGAGAAAGATGCAACAATAAAGGAGCTTGCAACGTCTCTTCAGTCAAGCAACAAGGCTGGTTCTAAGGTACGTACGTGTCTTTTCCCGCAAATACTCTAATGCCCTTCAATCTAATTTCTGTTTAACCCAAACCCTCATTTTCTTCTCCTTTGACAGAGAGTATCAGAGCTTGAAGACATAATACGCAGGAAGAATACGATAATAACACGGCTCAAGAAGGATATGCTTGTGTTAGAGCAAAAGGTGAGAATTTTTAAAAGTCAAGTTCGTATAAGTAAACATGTTTTTGTCTCTAAGAATCGACTTCGATTAAACTTGGTTTGACTGTGATCAATCTCATTCACGTACAAGGAAAGTGATTCTGAGATTTCAGATCAAAAGTTTGTTATTCAAACATTATGGAAAGCGTATTGGCTTGAGTTCTTTTGTTCTTACTATGCGTCTGTCATGAAATCCACAGGTCACACAGCTAACCAGACTTCAAAGATCTTCCTCAGCTGCAACCCGGAATTCTCGTGATCTTCCAATCATGAGGGAGAATCTACTTTACGATATGGATGTTTCTACAAGCGCTTCATCCTCTGATTCAGAAACTCCTGTGACCTCACCTCATCTAACTACTCCGAAGATCCCAATAGATCCTATCGAGGAGGTTCACTCCAATCTAGAACAATCCCATAAATCCATGTCTGCTAAATGCCCGGCTTCCCTTGTGAATTCCGTCAAGACACCATCGGTCAGTCCTCTTCAAGAAGTATCGACCAATCAGAAGCTTGTCTCGGTTTCTTCTTCTTCAAGGCTACGAAGGGCTTCGTCTTCTGAAGCTCCAAAGAAACTTACAAGGGCAGTTCAGATCACCTCCAGAGATTCCTCCGGTTCACGGAAGAGATGGATTTAGTAAGTACCGGTTTCTTAATCTGTTGTTTTGGTATACATTGGTTTCTGCTTCAACGAAAAGGACATCATAAACATGCAGATAAAAATGAAAAATCAACTATTAAAATGGTTCGTTTCAATTAACTGTCTGAAACCGAACCTTAAGGTAAACGTTCCGGTGTGGTTCGCAGAATCGGTTAGCCGGTTTAAGCTAGTTATTGCAGTTATGATTTGTTGATGATGTTTCATTCTGGTTCTGAATACTTAAACCGGATCCCCTGTGTTGATCTTCACCGCCCTTGTTTTGGTCTTGACCGGTTCGGGTCTTAGCGGTTATGAATCTTAACTCTTTTAACCGGCGCCGACATCAGTCTCGGTTTTGACCCTTTTTTTACATCTCTGCTGTAAAATCAAGAATTGCTAACTAATCAATTGTAAATTTAAACCCATTAATATTATTTCATCGTTTTATTATGTATTTCAGGTACGGAAACTTAGGAGATGCTTTCAGCTCTGATGTTGCCCGAGACCACATGCTTTTCGGGTACTAAATCTATATACATCCATAATGTATGTAGCTCAAATGGTAAATCTTGTGTTATGTTAGTCTATCATGTGTATTAATTTCTGAAAACGATCTTTCGGGTATGTAGAATTTCGTAAACTTTTTTTTTTCCTGAAATCTGTATTGGAGAATCCGATATGATTCTGATTATAATCTGTCCAGAATAGTAACAAAAGTTTGGCCAGTAATGTGAGATAGACTACACATTTAAATGTTTTATGCTATTAAAAGTTAAAAAATGCGAAACCTTAGAGGTTCCCTTTTTTTATAACAGGATGCAATGCGAAAAAATAAAAATAAAAAAATTAAAATAATGGAGCAGGATTCAACTTCGGTTCTACAAACGGAAGATGGTCTGATTGGCACATTCCAAAAATCCCAAATTTGAATAAAAATTTCATATTCCAAATACAAAAGTTGCAAGTTGATCACTCAAATTTCATATATAGAGAGAGAAAAACTCTGTGGTAGGTTTCAGAACCTGTATTGATCTTCGAAACCCTTACAAGGGGTTGTTTTTATTTCATAATACAGTAAAATGAATATAAAAAAGTGTTCATATTTGAGGATCTGAGAACCCAAATAACATATAACCAAAGATCTACAACTAGAAGTCTCAAATAACCTACATCCCATCAATCATTTTACATTCAATATCCAGAATCTAAGCTCTCTCGCCTCTGATTCTTCTCGCGATCTGAAGTCGTGGTATGCATGCGTTCTTTTTCAGCCTATTGTTTGAAGAAAACCAAATTGATCTTAACCGGAAACTAATATAAAATGGGAAAAAATAATGAACGTCAACCGAATAATTCTGTAAAATTCAATGTGACACTCGTTATGGAATACGCGATTGCAGATCAGACGAACAACAGCTATTAATTTTTTTATTTTTTTATTTCAGAGTTGTCATTTGTGCAAAGATTTCAGGGATTGGGAGTTATTTAAGCAGTTTGCGTATGTGCCTCAGGAAAAAAAAAAAAAGAATGATAACCATACAAGTGATTATACAAAATCATCTATCAATACTGAAAGCAAAACGATATGATCTATTCTATACAATGAATTGGGTATAGATTGGACGACCGAGTAAGAACCTCTGTGATGTAACTTCGAATCTCCGGTATAATTTGCTCAACAAATTTCAAAAACCTGCATTTACATTTCAAAATTTACCATGTTTAGTTATACATTTGATATATACACATTCTGAATGTCTCCATCAGGATCGGATGACATACCATTGTTTGGTGCTGAGTTTATTAAAGTGTTCGAGAACAAATAGCATGCACGATTGTCTCAACGTCGAGGCGTTGTATGCATCTGCTAACTCGTACATCAACGTTATGTTATCAACTGAGATGTCCTGAAAAAAAAAAAGATTCGGAAGCCAAATGAACCATTAATAATGTGATAAAACTATGCCGCCTTTAGGACATTCAGATGGTGAAAATGTACCTGCGCGATGGTGTATTCGCAGAGGCGCTTGAGGCCTTGTAGAAGATACTGATCGGCTGCTCTAAGGAGATCTTGAGCAATGTCTTTAGTGATGTTAACAGCTCCTGTGTATATGAATCTGCAGAGGAGCGTTGGTAGTTTCAGTAAAGACGATATCCTTATCTTCTCATCCTAGATTGAACTTGCGAGGGGTTGAATTCCGAATCTCACCTCATCATCAGATCAAAAACTTCCCATCTGATATTTGGTATCTCAACGTTTTGAGCATCCTTTTCCTGAAAACAGACTTTCACGTTCAGCGACACCAAGGCTGATTCATCCATGGTGCCCAATTGTTGGAAAGAGACAACTCTCCATATTCTCCGATTCAAAACTAAAATCCAAAATTTGTGATAGGACACCTTGTAAAGGCCATCAAACATTGCGCGAAAAGTGTCAGATGAAGCTACCAAGCAAATCTTGTGAGCGTAGAATTGTCTACCTGAAATGTCATGGAAGAACTTACTCAAACAGGAAGAAGTTTATTCTGTTTCAGGATTCTTACTAAAACAAAGTCTAAGGAAGTGGGAAACAGAAGAACAGACACCATACCGTCGATAAGGAAAGTGATATCCGACAAAGTAGGATCATTCACAAATTTCTCACCCAAAAACACCTGCAACTTATTTCAATCATAACCTCCTCCCATAGCTCAACGAAACATTATCTAATATTTCAGAAAAAGATAAGAAACTATACATGTTGGGTTGGAGAGGAAGGAGCTGCATTATCTGGAGCAGAGGAGGCAGCTTTCGTAACTAATTTGTACAGAGACGCTGCACTAGTTTTATGTTGTTCGATGTTCGTCGAATCTAGAAGCTCCAGAAGCAACTCTAAACCTGCATTAGCATTAGATCAGAGCAAGAAGCAGAGTAAACTCTATTACTACGAGTATGAGCACCACTTCCGAGATTGAGACATGGATGCAGAGATCAGAAACAGAGGCAACAGCCGATTATTACCATTGTTGTCAATGAAAATCAATTTTCCATCTTCAGGGTCACAAAGGTGAGGTAGAGCTAGAGCAATTTGCTTTTGGATCGTCTTATCCGCAGTTCTCATTAGATATAGTAGCTGGTTCAGCACCTGAAAATCAGGCAATGGACTGGTTAGGGAAAATGAGCAAATCAGACTATGGACATGATTCCTTGACCAGTCTTGAAATAACAAGGTCAGACCAAGATTGGGTACTCACTTGTCCTTGAATTTTGTTCTCTAGTCTCTTTAATGTCCTCGTCACACAATCCTTAGTAGGCTGTATATAAAAAGTAACGGTAATGAGAAATTAGAAAACCATCTGATTTGATTTGCCTATCAAAGCAGTAAAAAAAGACACGCACTTGCAAAAAGAATTCACCATCTAGAAGCTTTTGAACACCACCAGTCTTGATAAAGTCTGCAACATTGTCCTACATTAAGGAAACAAAATAAATTGAGATTTTTCGTATTTATTTACCTCACAAATGGTATCACTTATTGGAGGGATGCTTACCTCGTTATCAGCAAGACCATACAAAGCAAATGCAGCATTATGTTGTACAGACCCAGTTCTAACATCGAGAAGACTTATGAGTGTTGCTATTCCACCATTCTGTCCAATCCCAGCTTGATTGTGTGAATCCTGCAACAATTAAAATTTACACAGCTCAGTGATTTAATGCCATATTTTGACATGCCGAGAGAATACGAAAGCCATTCCCCTGTATGTTTTCATAGGACTGGTCTAACTATATATAGAAATTAAGATGCCAAAACCAAAAAAACAATCCACATACCTGAGCTAATCGACCAAGGGCAAAAGCTGACATTTCCTTGAGCTGCTCATCTTGCGATTGAAGCAGTTTTACTAACGGTGTGATGGCTCCTCTCTGGGCAATGTGTGCCTGCAAAAGCATTCAATATTATCTGGTATAAAAGATAAGAATTGTTCTCCCTGGCTCTGGATGACGACATCCAAATCTGGACCTAGCCAAGTTAAACTCAACAAAGAGACAGAAACTCACTTTGCAGTCTGAATCAGGTGCTGCAAATTGACCTAGTAATAACGCTGCTTCTCTCTGCGTCTCCGGACAAGCCGAACTATCATGGATACAGCGTTGAGTTCATTAGATTTAGAAGCTGCTAAAGCCTAACTAGAAATTAGAATGATGAAAACAGAACATACCCTAACAGACCAATAACTGGTTGCAAAGCGCCCGCACGGAGAACCTCTTTCTTGATGTCTGGAGATGAGTGAACGAGATTTCCAATTGCACCAATCTGACAAATTCACAGCCAATAAGAAAAGAAAGGGAGAATGCCAAACAATGTATTGAGCCCTAATACTAGACAAAACACTAACCGCTTCGCCATGCACAGAAGAATCTTCCGATTGAAGCATCAATATGAGTGATGGTAAAGCGTTTAACTCAATGACCTGCAAAAATCCACCCCTTATGTTAGATCCGGGTTTCTTAAATGCATGACGATGCGTCACTGGCAATATAGAAAGACACCTTATTCTTGTTCTCATCATTCCTAAATGTGAGGGTTCGCAATGCCCCTGCGGCTGCCCTCTGTACCTTAACATCAAGAAAATTTAATAGCCGGACAAGAGGCGGAATGCAACCTTCAGTCCTGAACATACATTTCCAGAAGGCGTCATGCATTTGAAGTTGAATAATAGAATCGAGACCAACCATACAAAAGAGTACAACAAATAGCTATACCTTACGATTGTTTTAATCCTTGGATTCTCATGAGCGATATGAGTTATCAAATCAGCAGTTCTTCTAAGCAATGCATTAGCAGTTTTGCATCCACAATGAATCCATTTTCTGTTCAACAACTTCACAACATGGCCAACGGCCCCGGCATCCACAATGAGCCGCTGGAACTCAGGCTATGATGTGTAGAGGTGAGTTCAGATTAGCAAATAATTAAGCAAAATTTTCACAATTGAAAAAACTTTTCACTCGGCAACTCTAATCAGCATCCATTACTTATCATAACCAGTTGCTCAAAACTAGGGCGATTCAAAGATGACAAATACGAAAAATCTATCAGGTAATTTCAGTTTCCTAACACAAGATCCATATTGTTACAACTAGCTTGATTCAAACTAGTATCGGTGACCATAACACATATGATTTGATGCTGTTCGAACTTACTTTAATGGCAATAAGTCCGAGGACAACGGCACATTCTTTCTCCAACACATAATCACTCGGTTCAGGGCCATTCTCGCCATGTACTGGAGCCCATGGAGCATCTAGATATTTCACAAGGGCATGGACCGCACCACATACGACAATCATATCCACGCTTTCCTCTAAGAACAGAGAAGCAACATCACATATAATCAGCAAATGACTCGCAGAACCAAAGTAATGATTTCCTAATATCACTCTATATCTCCACTGAATAAAAATCCCAGACGATTATAAGAAAAGTTTAAAGAGCACAATATATACCATTTTCGGCGAGGACGCAGAGAGCACGAGCTGCTTCTATGGCGGCGGCGCGATTGTGTTCCGCATCGGAGAAGCTTGTGTTGAGAACCTCTACGTGGCGACGGATCACGACAGCGAGATCGATTACTTGTTCGGCGATTTCCCCGATATCCAGATCAAGCTTTCGCCTCAGATTCCTTCCGGCGAGTCCTGTGGTTCGTTGTCGCTTCGGGCGGCTGTCCATCAGCGGCGGTTGGTTGAGATACCCGACGGAGGAAAATTTCCCGGTGAGATTTCACGGAGGCGAAGAAGGATTTCAGGGGATCTCACTCCGATTGATTTGTTTCCTTGTTTTTATTTTTTTATACTGAAGGAGCAGGCGGTTCCTGAAATCGTTTTGATTTTGGAAAGGCGCCAAAATCATCCGCCCGTCCGTGGTGGAGGGAAATATTACCGGTTATAATATAAAAACAATTGAACATAAATTTTTCTAACAATTAATTAATTTCACTAAAATATCCCAGAATATGATATTTGAAAATAATAAAGATGGACATGTTGTTTCTATTAAAAATTATATACTAGATTTATATTAAATTCCATTTAAAAAAATGATACTCACCATAAATTATTTGAACATCTACAGAAAAGATTAATAAAAACAGAGTAAAATATTTTAGAGAAACAAAAAGGAATGTTTAAGAGAAACAAAAAATAAATAAATCTATCCATTTTTATTTATATAATAATTATCTGGATAACATGATATTTTTTATATAAACACAACAATAATCTGATTTATAAAATCATCCTATTTTCGGATATTTCTATATGTAGATTTTCGTATATTTTAATCTTGAAATAAAAATATTTTTTCATTTAAATTCGTTTCCAGATTCAAATATACAAACATTTTAATTTAAACTAAAAGTTGTGGTTGAAACTTGAGTTTGGGTTTAATATTGAGGTTTTTTATTGGACATATCTCTGTATATAATCCCGAATCTCTTTCATATAGTAAGTTTACATATTGCTGTTGTTTTCTTTTTATGTAAACTAGGTTAAGCATCTTGTAATACAGATATATGAGTCGAATATGATAGAGGAATGAACAAAGTTTTTCGTTTTGCATTGAATCTTTGCCGTGACATGGTATCAGAACACGAAACATTCTAACCTCGATCTGAACTTTTGACTCCATGTCTTCCGACACCACCTATTCACCAACACCTCCGACAATGTTCCGACCTCGACACCGATTTTGAATCGGACGATGACACGACCCGAAAACGTCATTGTTCAACGCCGAACAATTTCGCCTTACGATTTGACTCCCATCGACAACCCCGGTCTTGTTCTCTCCCAACCATTGCTCCGTGGAGACAACTATGATGTGTGGTCTATCAACATCCGTCAAGCATTTAAATCACGTAAGAAGTTTGGGTTTGTCGATGGATCCATTCCGAAATCGACACTCGATTCACTGGATTATGAGGATTGGGACACAAATAATGCTTTGCTTGTCTCTTGGATCAAGAGTCGAACCGCATCTATGGTCCGATGTTGTTCATCGCGAATATGCACACGATTTGTGGAATGATCTCAAACGTCGTTTCGGTAAAATGAATGCACCACGACTCCTAAACATTCGAATCGATCTTGCTAATTGTCGACAGCAAGAAACCATGGTGGAAACATATTTCAGGAAACTTACAAAGTTGTGGGACGATCTTGCGAATTTTCACACCTTGAAGACTTGCACTTGTGGTCACTGTACTTGTGCTCTTTCTGAGACATTGGAGAAAGGGCGAAATGAAGATCGTCTTTATGAATTTCTGTTGGGCCTCGATGAATCATCTTTCTGTTGGGTTTTCCTGGAATCTCAAGAGCGAATCTAATTCCTAAGATATCAGTTCTAGGGTTTGCACAGCGGATGAAAAATAAAAATTTTGATGAAACCCTAAAACCTATCATGCATGATCTTGTAGAAACGTTAGAATGCTTACCTCAATCAATCCGGGGCCTGTATCAATCGAAGAACGCGTCTGATCACTTTAGGCAGGAAGAATACTTTGCCCTCTACACGTATCCACACGGCGGAAAGGATTCCAATGGTTGGAACTTGTCTGCTAGGACTGAAGAACGCTTTCTTCTTTACGCAAGGGTTTCAGGGATCTTTCTCTTAGCTTTCTCACTCTTCAAACCTCTCCCTAGGGTCTGAAAATCGTGCCAAAAGAGTTCTTCGGCGTTCCCATAAGTTTCCCACCTTTAAAACCCTAATTAGAGCGAGTTTAGTAAATCCCGACCTCTGGACCGACCGATGTAGGTCTGGACCGATCGGTCTGGAGCTTTTTAATATGTGGACCGATCGGTCTGGAACAATTTCCGGACCTCACACGTTACCTCTGGACCGACCGGTCTACGTCTAGACCGATCGGTCTGGGTTAGCTGGACCGATCGGTCCAGACCTTCTGGACCGGTCGGTCTGGCCTCCGCTCCACCGGAATTTTCTCGTCTCTTTTCGCGCATTCGTCCTTTCCTGTGTATGTGACCCTGTAGGCTCATCCGATATAGCAGTATAACACGAAATCTCTTATTTCGGTTACACAAGTCATAGGCGGTCTCTAGCAAGACACTATGACTACCTATCTCGAATAGAGTTTGTTCGTGATCCTACGAATGCCAACGACGATTCCGTTTGATGTTCCTTTTGTATCACGATATCATATGTCGAATATAAGGCATGGACAAGCCACCTTATCTGATTCGACTGCTTTCTCGTTCACTGAGTTCGACTGTCTGAAATAGACGACGTTCATCTATAGTGCGGCCATACATTTCTACAGTCTCGCTCACACGAGGGGCCCAGCGATATCTCTCTCTTTTACGAGAGGTACAAATCCAGTCTTGACTATCTATAATCCAGCACATGATTCGTTTCATACCTGATACACGCTTTTATAGTCCTCCTGTTACGCAGGACGTTTGACGTAATCAAAGTACGCAACTCCTCGTGTTGGATTCCGTAGATATCTCAAGTCTTAGGATCCAATCATGGAACCGTCATATGAGATTCAAGTCATGACGCTAGTCCATGTGACAATCTCATGCGGGTGAATCCAGTATTCCATTCTCCAACGAATACCTATGATTGTGATCGTATCCAAATACCTATGATCATCTATATGATCATCAATCACACATCATACTAGTCTTATTATGTCATCATTCCCATTATGACACAAGACTAGGGAGTTAAGTATCATTCATAATGATACATGGATTTCATAACACATCTAGTATGCAAGAACATGTAATGAATCAAATACTCTCATAAACCATAGAAAGTATCAATACATCAAATGTATCTAAATAAAGCTCATAAACAGTACATCATAGAGCACTAAACCAATACTTTCGGCACGGTTCAGTCGAATTTGCTCTCCTGTCTGCCTTTACCCAGCCTTGAGGAAGTTTTTAATTTGGTGACTCAAGAAGAAGACTCGAAAAGAGTTGTTTCCAACTCTGAAACTCGTCAAAAGCTGCGGTCTTTTCTACCTCTGCTGGTGAGAAACCTCAGACTCATGATAACTCCTATTTCATACTGCATTTTGGGAGTCTAGAGGTGTTATACGCATATATATCTTGCGTGTTTAGGTATCATAGGCACCCTATACCCGCTTTGTTTGTCTCTTTTCGTGATTTACAGGAAAATAGGATCAAATGACGGATTTCGGATACATACTGTTGGGTTTCGTTACGGGTTTCTAGCATACGATCATATCGATCTAGGGTTTGGTTTACTAGGTTTCATGCAGCGGAAGGAAAATCTAAACCTAGTCAAACGTCACACGCAACCAAACTCATCCGTTAAACCCCGTATAATCGTGTATATCACCGTGGGAATCGTATACTTACCTCTTTCCTGAAGAAACGGAAGTAGGAGTCGATCCGGGGCCTGTTTAATCATCTATGACTGAAGTTACAGTCCCTTTACACGTATCCACACCGACGGGAAGAATTCCAAACGCTTTTGGAACCGATCTGCTAGGATCTTGTGAAGTATATCAAGTGGGATCTAATCCCGGGAGCTAGAACTATTAAAGAAACGATTTCTTCTGAGTTTTTGCTCTGTCTTAGGGTTCTGAAAGTGAGTTCTACTCTAAGGACGGCATCCAACACCTCCTTATAAGTTAGAAACCCTAATCCTTGTGAAAAGAGACTTTTTCCGAGTATTGACTTGGTCTGAATCAGAACTCTGACTCGGTCGAGTCAGAACGATTCAGCCCAAGCCCATTGTCAAAAATCAGCAAGTCCAAAAACACTTTTTTGGACTTTGACTCGAACAGAACTGACTCGGTCCGAGTCAAAAGGCTGAAATCGTCCCGACACTTTTGTTGGGTTTTCTGGGATCTCTAAAGCGAATCCTATTACTAAGAGATCGATTCTAGGGTTTGCGCAGCGGATATAAAATAAAATTTTGATAAACCCTAGAACCATGCTTCTAATGAATCGTAGAAACGTTAGAACGCTTACCTCAATCGATCCGGGGCCTGTATCAATCGAAGAACACGTCTGATCACGAAAGGCAGGAAGAATACCTCGCCCTCTACACGTATCCACACTTCGGGATGGATTCCAACGGTTGGAACTTGTCTGCTAGGACTCGAATCTCTATTCGATATGTGCACCGAGAAATCTCGAGACTTAGAACTCGTTTTTGGATCTCCAAAAACTCTCTCTTTTCTGCCAAAAGTCGGCCCTCTTTTTTCTCTCACCAGTTAGGGTTTTTAATCTCCTTCTTATAAGATGATTTAACCCTAATTCGGTTTAATTTCGGAAAAACTGAAGTCCGGATCGGACGGTCCAGAGATACACGCGGACCGTCCGTTCCAGCACGTGGAACGGACGTTCCGCATTAGTGGACCCC